TAGCTTTGTGCTGGAGAGCCTGTGCACCTTTGAGGCATGAGTGCTGCAACAGACCAGATGTGAGGAGTCGATTACCTGAGACGAAGAGAAATCGCCTTCAGATGGCTCAGTAAGTTTCGGCAAGCGCTTTCCCCTTTCTGCTTTCCCAGCTGTGCTCATCTTTTGCTCAGAGGATTCCCTTCCACCCATCCGCCTCCATTGCATACTCCAGCAGATGCTTTCACTGACGTATTTTGGCTGCTGCACTTGGCCGACATACTTTGGAGCAATTTCAAGCAGGCTGCAAGCTGAGGTGTTGTGCCGGGGCTGGAGCAGATGATAGAGCTGCTGCTGACGCCAGTTCCAATGAGCAGCCTGGTGGGCATGCTCTGCTGCAAGGAATCCAGTGAGGACCCTGCTGCACCCACCCTGGGCCTGCCTGAGGGATCCTCCCAATTTCTTGGTCTCAAAGCATGGCATCGAGATTGTGTTGTGTTGCAGCTTGGGTGACTGAAGGCAAATAAACCACGAGAGAGAAATGTCACTTGTTTCCATGGGGTCTCTGACCAAAAGCCTCCTTCCTGGGAGGGACACTGGGATATGCAGAGGGACAGACCCCCAGTGTGGAGAGGGAGACTGCAGGGCACAGTGGGGCTGGCAGGTCTCTGGGGCCAGGACTGTGGGAGGTCCAGCCAGGAGCAGGCCAGCCAGGGAGCACCAGGGCAGCTCCAGCCCCAGGCATCAGACACATCCTTTGGGATGGGCCAAGGCCAGGGACATGGGCCCAGGGCTGAGCCTGGCTTGGTGGGGCCATGGCTGGGCAGGGCAGGGCTGTGGGGAGCTGGAGACTGACCCCCCCTGAGTCACTGGGGCAGGAGCTGATGGCGCTGGGGACCTGAAATGGGGCCCTGGGCAGGGTGAGGGAGCCCAGGGGTGGGCAGGGGCAGTCAGGGCTGTCAGTGATCTCATGGCCCTGACATGACCTTCCTCTCTTTGTGGGTCTCAGGAGCAAAGAATGGGGCTTTTCATATAGAAAGCACTGATATAACAATTTGTCACCTCACTTTTCATCATTCCTCTTTTCAGGCGATTTTTAAGAACGTTGCACAGCACAGATGTCGTTGGGAGTCCCACCGGCAACACCCTGCTCCTGTGAGAACCAGACATGCCATCGTACCCATTCGGCTCCTGTCCCTTAACCAGTTATTTTTCTGCAAGAGGAGCTGATCATTTGTTCTCAGACTGCTTAACTTCTCTAAGATGCATCCATGAGAGTCCTGTTAAAACTTCTTAAAAATCCAGGTGCACCTGGGTTACCATCACCCACCTGTTTACTCCATGAGCAACCGCCAGCAGATTTGTGAATCACAGCTGCTGTCAGGCTGGCATTGGCATATTATGCTTGTATTACATTATATCATAGTTTGTCTTGAGTTACCTAACGACGACTGTCTTTGTAAATCTCTGAATACTCCTTGAGCCCTTTCTAAAATCTGTTACTGATTTGTCACTGCTTATTACCCTGGAATTGAGGCCAGCATGAGCCATGGGTTGAACAAGGCAGCTGCTGTGTATCTGAGCTCCTCTGCAAGATGTGGGTGAATCTTATCCAGTCCCAGCAACCCGTCATCACTAATTTTTCCAGGTTACTCCAAAATCCCTTCTACTGACATTTCAGTTTGACGACAAATTCCTCAGGCTGATGTATTACAAAAAAGACCCCTGTTGTGAGAGCCTCTGCTCTGAGCATTGATGCACGATTCATTTCTGTTTCCTGCGAGACCTCCGCTTACCCACATCCCCACAATTCTCCGGTAGGCTACCAGTCTTGAGGAGTGTCTGAGAAAAGTTTCATTTATAACTCTGTACCTTCAGCAAGCCATAGGTTGGCTTTGGCTTGCCTTTCTGTGTTTAACTTTATAGAATTCACATCCTTTGCTGTTTTCCTCATTTGGGCATTCTTGTGCTTTCTGATGGTGTTTCTTTACTTCTAATAGTCTCCTTTGCTGTTTACTTCTATGGGTTATTTTACGGTCCAGGCAACGATGTGAACAAAGGATTTCTAAGGCTCAGGCAATTGTTCTGATCATTCAACTGTAGGTTATTGTCTTTAGGGACAATCTGACAGTAATTTGGAGCAGAAGCAGAATGGATGTGTCTGGGGAAGGTGGGGGTGTATATGGTGGGAGTGATAACCCTGTTTCCTGCAAAATCTACTGCTCTGAATAATCTTTCATGTTACCTACGGGAACTTCTGGTTTCTCAGCACAGGTATCTACCCAATTTAAGTTTTGCTATCCATGACTTGGTTACTCCCAGCTAAGTAGTGCCAGTTAACTAAAGAGATCAGTGTGTTTCTGGAGATCAGTGTGTGTCTGGAAGTTAAAAGACCCATATAATACCTGGAATGTTGAAGTGTCTGCTTTTGCCCATCTTAATGAAGTTCCTGGTTGAATCAAACTCCTTTCCTCACCGCAGCAAAATCCAGATAGGTCTTTGAAAAGTACGAGTTAGTGGTAAGAAAGGAAATTAAAAACTGCCACCTTGGATATGAAATAAAGGATCAATGAAAAGCAAGGCAGGAGCAAGAACGCTCTCCTCTCCTGGGAACATGAACTGAATCTGTGATGCATTTTCATAAAAACGAAATTGTCTGACAGGGGTAGCCACAATTAATCCAAATTTCATGCCAGTTCACTATTTCCTCATTATGTTTCACTGTATATTAAGACTGTGTAAGACGCACTCTGAACGTCACATGAAGGAATAGCCCTGCTGCTGAAAGAGCCATAATTCATTCACTAACAGCCCTTGTTGCTGTGCTTCAATAATGTAATCGTTTTCTCTGTGTCGTAACCATATGATTACTCCTGTTGTGTAGGAAATTTAAGTACAAGGAATGTCAGATCAAATATAAAAGCCTAGTGCTTACCCACAGTTTTTATTCAATTAAGTAGCCATTACAGAGCTCATGCTATTTCAAATGACATCATGCAGAACGTAAATGCAGTCCTTTATTACAGATATATGTTCATCTAAACAAAATGGCACCAACACAATCCAAACCCATTACAATTTTTAAATTATTATGCTAAGGTGATTATTATATGGTGAGCAGTCTCTATGAAAGACAAGTAGGGAATCTGTGGCCTCCACAAACCACTCTTTGAGCACAGCAGCCCTGTTATTTGGGGTTTATATGTGAAATTCCTAAATGCAGAAAAACAGTGCTGCTAAAATATGCTCCTAGAGTGAAAGCACTGAGCTACAGCTTGGAGAACTCTGACTCTGCCAGTGATGTAAGTCATGCGTAGGGCCAGGACCTGACCCAGACAGAGCTGCCTAAGGCACAGTCTGGGCAGCATTTAGATGTTTATCCCCAAGATCTAAGAAGCCCTGGCCATTCCCACACAGTCTTGTGGTGTTTATTAAGCACCTTGCACGTTGTCTCTGCACATGCCTTCTACACCGCTCGCAGGAGCCATAAGGCTTCCCCTCTCAGAGCTCCTATCACTCACCATCTGGTTTGGGCTCCTCACTAAATCGTTGCCCAGCACCACAAGTGCTTCAACCTGCATAAGGCTGAGGGCCTTCTCTTTGCAGCCCTGCAGCCCGCCTTTCAGGCACAGCTCTGCGCCCCTTCAGTATTGCTGCTATGATGGACTTTCATGGGAAGCAACTTCTACCACCATGAGAGCCTTCCTTTCCCTCTATTCCTACCCCTTGGTCGTAGCTTTCCGTTTACATGAGGGGACTAATGATACGTGTCTCCTTTGCCCTGGCGACGACAATACTCCTATGGAAGGTGGGAGAGGAAGAAAGGAATCCCTCCAGGCAGAGCTGGGAATTATACCTGAATCTCTCACACCTGAAGAAGTCCCAACTCCAGGCTGTTCAGTTAAAGGCAGGCAGGCTGTCACCGCTCAGCAGCCTGCCTCTGCGAGCCTGGAGGTGAGGCTCATGCTGCCTCCTTGGAGAACGGCTGCAAACACCAGTCCTTCAGAAAACGCTTCTGTCTCTGATTTCCCTAGAGACAAAGATCCCTACTGGAACTCCTAAGCCTGCTGACCAAGCCAAGAAGGGGATGAGATTTTTTTTATGCATCTCCATGTAGTGCTCGATCTAAGCAGCTCCTTTTTCTAAGTACAAAGTACATGTTTAAACCTTTTCTGAACCTTCCTTATGCACTATATGGGCAGCCAATTCCTGATTAGGTCTGAAGCCTGGCAAGATCCCTACTTAGATCCAGCCTGAAACTGCTCTGTTACTGTTTTATACCATGGAGAAAATAGAAATACTTCCCAATTTAAGACAGACATTGTTATGGCTGCTTTTTGTTAAACAAAAACTGGGCTAACACAGAAATAAGTGGCTCATAGAACAGTGCAAATGGAGACAGGGAGTCTGTTATAATTTACTCATCAAATACTGAGAATAATATGAAAAGTGAGAGATGGCATAGAAATAGTTACTGATTATGTAGAGCGTGAAGAGCTGCATCAAAAAGAGAGTTTAAGAGGGTCAGTTTCTATTTTTACAAATCAAAAAAACCCACCTTCCAAAGGTTTCTGGAATTGGGTTTTTCATTTTGTGTCTGATTTCCACCCCCCCTCCCCATAACAGTCAATGTGGTCCAAGCTGGGTAACTCTGAACATCACCATGCCAAGAGGAAGGACAGGGACAATTACCCCACTTTATTGGCATAATTGCAAGACAAAAATAAACTGCTCACTGCTTCCTACACCTCTTCCCCTCATGCCAGCTTCTGTCTGCAACTTTTTACCTTGAGCTCATTATGAGAAAGTAATTTTATTGTCAGATTTGTCTGGCAGCTGGAATTCTCCAAACGAGGTAAGCAGGGCTGAGATGTGTGCTCTCATCCTTCAGCAAAACCCTTGTAACATACGATGCTGTTATGTCTCCAAGCTTTACGTGAAGAGGAAAACAGGCATCTGGGCTGGGTTCATTTGTAACGCTGTGGCTGATGGATTAATACGAAAAGACAGATGAAGGCAGACACTTTAATTACTTCACCCTAACTTTTTATTACAACATCAAGTAAAATGGTGAGTTACAGAGGATAATGGGCGTGAAACATCTGGGACGAAGTCACACACAAGCTCATGGTTTGCTATCTGCCAATGGGGTTTTAAATATCGATAACTTCTGTACATGCATCTCTGTGTTATTTCTGATTTTCTTGATAAATCATTTCAGGATTACTTTGTTTTAAGCTGTGAGGTAGCTACTAAGACTGGGACCCCGCTTTTTTCTTCTGGAATTTTCTGAACTGGGACTGTATCGCCACAGCCGCCCGCTCTGTCTCTGGAGCGTCCATGTCTATGTCAAATTCCTCTTGAACCTTCTTCTGCCCATCTGCTCAAAGAAAACAAAACAAAACATCAACAGTTTTTTCAAACAGTGACAATCACTGGACAGCACAGGTGAAAAACCCTGCCCCTCTCTCCTTCACAGACACAGCCATGACGATGGGGAGCATATTCAGAAAAAAACCTGGGACCAGTTTCAGCAAACACAGCCGATCACAGCCCCCACCTCCTCCCAAGGGCAGAGTCTGTGACAGCCCCTTGGTGGCTAGGCACCAAGGAGTCACATCCAAATGGTGCTCGGACATCACTGAGCATCACCCTGACATCTGAGCAAGTCCTCTGCTGCCCAGGGAGCTAACAGTGAGGGGCAGAGGGACCCTCCTGTGACCCCCAGCAGACAGAAGTTACTCATATCCCCATGTTTACTCTAAAATAAAGACACCTTAAATATTTTAAAGTGGGGACTAAGACCCTGCTCCTATCACATCTCCTCCATTAGGGGAAGAGATCATACTTCCTAAGGCAAATTTCCGTCCTCCTCACTTGCTTCCTGCCTCATCCCTTTCAACACATACCGC